TCTCGTTTCTTTCTTTCTTCTTCTTCTTTTATCTTCTTCCTCTCTAAATAATCACTACAATATGTTTCCCATTCTTCTTTCTTTTTATTAAATTCTTCCGTGATTTTATCTTTTTCTTTTGGTGTTCTGAATATTTTATTTTTCATCACCACTTCTTCAATTGAAATGATTTTATTGATTAGTTCATTCCGTGTTTTGCTTAGTATTTCTTCATCTGAATTACATTCTTCTATTATTTTGTTCATTTGATTCTTTATTATTTCAACTGCTTTAATTGTTTCTTGACTTTTTTCTATTATTAGTTTTCTTCTTCTTTCTGTTTCATCCATTCTGTCAAATATTCCTTCTCCTCTTTTAATAGCTTGTTCATATGTCTCATTGTCTTGTATTTTAAATATTTCATTTTTAATACTTCCTAAATAATACTGATATTGTTTAGTAGTATCATCAATTGATTGTTGAATATTTGGAAGTGTTTCTATTTCTTCTTTAAAGAAATGAGTGTTCTTGTTTATTAACTCATCCATTTTAATTTAATTAATATCAGATTAAAATCAGATGATTAAATAACTAAATACACGTTTATAACACATCATTTTTATTTTAATAAGCGTCATTTCATTTTTATTGTTTTAAATAACAATAATAAAAACAAGAAAATAAAAGGTAATAATAAGAATAAAAACTAGATAATTAAGTATTAATAGAAATATCTTCTATTGTTCCTTGCTCAGCGGAGACTAATCCCGTCCCTGAGCTTAAAAGTATTTGTTCTTCAACTATTGGCTTATTCTTTGCTTCTAGTTGTTGAAATGTGAGAATTTTCTTTTCTCATTTTTGATGTGGAATAGAGTATTTTAAACATCCCTTATTTAGATATTCATTATTAAATTTCTTTTTAATTTCGATGGGTTTAAATTTCTTCTTCTTTATTTTCTTATTTTAAGGAGAGTATATAATTACCATTGTATTGCTTTGGGCTAATATTCTTTTAGCCTCAACCACTTGACCCTTTTCCTTTGATAATCTTTCTTATATTATCAATTATACTTGTATTCTAACAAGTAATAATAACATCTTTATAAATACCCATTCGTTTATTGTCAATGATATTCTGTCATTGTAATTAATAAACACTGCTATTCTTGCAGTATTGGGTAAGATGTTTTTCTAACCAAACGCAACGCCATAACTAGTCCATAACTGGGGGAATCGAAGGATGGAAATATTTTAGGAATCTGTGTGGTGTCTCTGACGTGCTACCTTCGAATCGAAGATAATAAAAATAAAAAATAGCAAAACATTTCATCATAATTAATGATAATATCACATAATAATAATGATACAAATGAACATGAAATAGAAATGAAAATACAATTAATCATAAAAAGTAGATAATTAAGTGTTATTAATTTTATTTTATATTATTCATTGTTCATAGA